GTCACTGGCCTCTTTCTACAGTGACGGAGGAAAGTCGTCGGGTCCAGGGGCCTTGTTTCGTTTCCACACGGGAAGTTTATGTCGAATCTCGTCCAAGGTGAGAGTTGTGACATCTACATCCCACCTCAGCTCAGTTGATTCGTCAAGCGACTGTGTCGCATTAGGTCTGCTGAATTGCTCCTCAAAACGTTCCACCCAACGGACTAGTCGACAAAGCTGAGTATGGATCGACTGTCCATCTTTCTCAGCTATTGTCTCGCTAACTGGTGTTTTTCTCGGACCTATGTTCCGGATGAGCTGGAATAGCATTCAGCTGTTCAGCTGTTTCTACATCTCATGGGCGCTTGTCATCCACCAACGTTCCTGGTCAATTCGAAGACACCTTGTCAGACTTCGTTTCAGGAGTTACGGACACATTGAAGCTCACTGCTCATATGAGCCTGTATTCATGTTTCGATCAAACTAATCAATACTGCAATGATCCATTCACAGTTATGTCTCAGTTTGGATGTGCCATAGACATCAAAGGCATTATGAATGGCACATTTGGGACGATGTCAGTTAGCGTTCGTCTCACCAATCTCATCCATCATTGACAATTAGTGGGCCACTTCGTTATGACGTTGAACTGCGGAATGGCGTTTCAACTTACAGGTAAGGTTAGGAGATAGGTGCTTCTTTGAAACGGGTAGAGCGCCAAGCGTACGTACACTAGAGCATGATCGGAATTCAGGCATGTGCTCCAAATTGATCGACAGTCTTGGATTGATGTATGCCATCTGTAACTGATGGCAATATTGTCACTTTGGGTCCAGGTCATTGAGGAATTCGATGGACACCAGCTGACGCGGTGTGAACGTTTGTGCCTTAATTCAGTGCTGCTAAGGTAAAGGTTGTTTTCGGCGCACAGTTTGTAGACATCAAGCACCATTGTCTGTTTGGCGTGCATCAACTCCGTAGCGCCCTCCCAAGGGTTATTCATGATCTGAAAGACGACCCACATGGGCAGTCGAGTAGATTGCTTTTAACACGTTTACTATGGATGATACTAACGTCGTAAATATCTTGAGCCATTGACTCAATATCGCCAGAGACGCGAAAGGTGTAGTCGTTATCGTTAATTTCAGAACCAGAGAGTCGAAGTTTCGTCACAATCCGGTTATTCTGTATGCGTGTTTCGGAGGCAAAACACATATCAATACCAAGAGAATGGAGAGTGAGAGTTAGTGCTGTCTGCTGGCCGATCTCACCTAGGGTGCAGAGATTAAAAGAACCAATGTGAATTAAAAACCTAGGTTTGATGGTAGTGCTACATGTATCGATGGCAGCAGCTGGAAGGTCAGCGGCAGTCTTGCTCAATAGGATGGAGTGAGAGTTAAGAGGGAAGAAGAGGAAAACAAGCAGAGAGAGTATTGTCGATGGGATCGAGAGAGCAGGTGATACTCGCCGGCTGCTCATTCCGATAGAGGGGTTTTTCGAGGTACCCGACCTCTTGTCTTTGACTCAACGATCTGACTTTCAAAGCAGTGGGGTACATGAAGCTTCGCTTGGGGAACTCCACCCGGAGTCTTTGGTTCAATAGCCTAATCGACAAGGCAATGGGAAGCAAGTCCAGCTCGGAAGTGTGATTGAAGTCACCCATTGGGATCTGCTTAAGGCCAATTACACACAGTCTCTGAAAATTTAGAACAATTCATACGTGTGCTGCGACCACGGTCAGCCGCAGATGGGAGTTGGCGGGTTTGAACCAAATTTACCAGGGGCTGTTTGGCTTGAGGCGAGCCGTAGCAACCCATTTAGTAAGGGGTTTCTCTCCTCTTGACCAAAGCTTCGCTTGGGCTCCTCTTCCATTCACACCCTAGTCGCGTAGACTACGGACGTCATGGGAGACCTTGTTTAGCATGCGCAACATGTGGCTTAACCGTCGCAACATGGTGCGTGATATAACAGTGCTTAGCCGTTCACTCACTCTTCCTGCACCAAATGCGCGACACCGAACACGCTCATGAGCTAAATTGCGAAGGCAGCGTTGGTCTGACGACCTGATGATCCAGATTTCTTAACAGTAAAAGAGATTTGAACACACAGCTGCGTTGTAAACTCTGCCTTTCCTCGTGAGAGTGATTTCACGCCGACGCCGCAGGTGGTGAAGATCGGCAAAAGCATCTCGAGTTTTTGCTATGCGGTTCGGAATCTTATCTTCTATTCCATAGGTGCTGATATAGCTGCCTCGGTACTTGGACTTCCGAAAGACTTTTAGCTGATGACCACAAGGGGTCAACCCAAGCATAGGCCTTTGCTAATCTTGGGGCTTCTGCGTTTCTAATGAGAATAGCATCGCCCGGAACGATTGACGATCAGTGCTACTTGCACGTTTGAAAGCTGCCACAGATTGGCGGTGTCATCGGCGTACTCCAGGTCAAGAAGTCGATCACTTAGGGGAAGCTCCACAACTTGTAGGTTGTTTCCAATGAGCGAGGTTTCCATTACTTCGTCTAAGTTAAAAGAGGTAGGTGACAGTGCTAATTCCTATTTCACACCGCTATGGATATTGAAGGGCGGCCACAGTTTGTCGAAAACTATCACACTGCACGAACTACGCGCATCATGCACTCTGATGATGTTTACGTTCTTATCAGGCACATCTTTCCTAAGAAGACGGCCCCAAAGGGCATATCGATCCATCGAATCGAAGGCACGTTTAATGTTGATGAACACAACTGCGATGGCTCACTAATACATATGGCGGTATTCTATTAGCCGACTCAATGCTTAGCTGTGGTCAACGCAACCTCGACGAAATCCAGCTTTTCCTTCGCGAACCTGGCTTTCACGGCTGTCAGTCTATATCAAACAACAGACAAGCAACTTAGAAACAGTTGGGATCAAACTGATTTCTCTATGATTGCCGCATTCCAACTTGAGCCTCCCTTATAAATTGGGACTATAACCGAGCGGCCGCAGTCTGTTGCGACAATGGACAAAAGCGGACAAAAATGCGGATACTTATCAATTCCCGTAGGATGGCCAAAAAGAGAACCACAACTTGGTGACTGGAAAACAAAGGGATAAAATGAAAATCTTTTAGGTGGACACACCAGTGTTAACACAGAGGCGCGCAGAAACAGCCAACAACAGTCTTGTAGGTTAATTCTGCTTGTGCAACTTTCGTCGCATTATATCGTCTGTGGAGACACAAAGGCTATATCTCATAGTGTAGGTGAGTTAGGACAACATCAAGGCGATTTTTGAACACAGGTTAAGTGAGGGCGGAAACAACATAATTTGGGAGGGCGTTCCAAGGCTGACACACACGAAAAGTGTAAAAGTTCCGTCGACATTCTAGCCGACTGCATTGCGTGACTAACTTGAACTGGTGGCCCCCTCAAATTCGTGTTGTGGCTCAACAGTAGTGGGTGACGGCAGATGTGCTTGGGGTTTCTTAGAATCTGCTAGGCCATAATAAGGTCGCTACGTAGGCGCCGGTACCGGCCACTGTATAATTTTATGGTCCTCAGTCTAAGTTGTGGGGATGATTGAACAACCCTTTAACGTGCTTCGTGGTTCGTCGCTGTGGAGTCTCGAGTGCTGCAAGGTCTTGCTTGTGCCAGGGCTGCCGCACCTGGCTCGCGCATTCCACCTGAGGCCGCGCGTAGGTGTTAAGCAACTGAGAACAGACAGAGGGATCAAACCGTCCAAATACCCTCCACAGCATGCCGACGTATTGGTTCCCGGTCTTTGACGCCTTCTCAGATTGTTCTGAACAGCCCAGATCAGCCTAAACTGGTACCCCAAGTTCGCGCTCCTGGGTGACTGCTTGCAGAATGTGATCTCCGAGCTTGTGTGTGATGTTCGGCTGGTGGCGAATGTGAACCACCTTACACTTCCCCGAATTGAACGGGATCAGATTGTGGAGTGATCACCCATACGCTCTATCCAGGTCTCGCTGAAGTGCATGGAGAATCTTCTGGGTCGGCGATCGCCCGCCACATCATAACATCGTCAGCGAACAGCAAGTAATCTGAAGTAATCAAACGCGTAAGCTCGTTCATGAACACGAGAAACCGACGAGGGCCCAGAACTAATCCCTGTGGTACTCCACGTTCGACATAAATCAGATCGGACAATGCACTTCGAATTCTGACCTACAGTTACCGATCGTGCAGGAAATTCCTGATCCACTCAAGAACTGGATCGCCAACTCCATAGCTTTCGAGCCTTTGAAATAGAATGCGGTGGTTCAGTCAGTCGAAGGCTTTGGAAAATTCAAGGTAAGTGACGTCCTTCCCTCTGCCTGTTTCGGCCACTTCCGTCCAACTTCTGCGTGCAATCAGTGGTTTGGTAGTGTATGAACGGTGCTGGCAGAAACCGTGTTGCTCGTGTGCTATAATGTTGTCGCGTTCTAGATGGTCTACTAAAGCCTCAGCGATGATTGCCTCCATCACCTTTGAGAGCACTTGGAGGTGGACCACTTTGCGATAGTTGGCAGATTCCGAGTGATTACCACTTTTAAGATTGGGAGTGATTACGCATGTTTCCACATGGTAGGCAAAATTTGTTTATCCAAACACTTTTGGATGAAATGCGATAATGGCCCGGCCAGCTTTGCTTCTACGTTCAGAACCCTCGGGTGCGTATACTCAGTTCCGGGTGAGCTGTAGGTGCGTAATGAGAGCAGTTTCTTCATCACAGCTGTGGCAGTAAAATCGATGTTAGTAAGTGTTGAAGTTGGGGATAAGGAAGTGGGTATGTAACACTAGCGGACGTCTCTTTGGAAGGTTAGGGCATACTGCATTCGTAGCGTGTTGGCTGCCTCTTCGGCACTGTGCTACTCCGACTGACGTGTTAAGTGGGGAGATACGGAGCTTCACTTTTCGGATGGTGTTAACATGCTTGTATATGAGCTTTTTGTTGTTGACAAATTTACAGACCAAATGTTGTTGGTGAGTCACTTTGTCCTCGCGGACAAGCATGTTACAGCAGTTGCACTGGGTCACGTAACCGCTCCAGGTTTCAGGAGAAGGACGAGCTCTGTAAGTGTGCCAAGCTGCATTCCGAATTGACATGCGTTTACGACTTCTACTTTTGATGAAAGAATGCGGATAGGCTGAGCAAACCCTCTTTGTTTCCGAAACAGTTGCGATTAGATTGCTGAGGCGTCCTACTCCCAGCATCAACCTTCACACCGTGTCACCTGGTGTCCATCGAATTCCTCAATGACCTGAGCCCAACTTGACCATATTGCCATCAGCTACAGGTGGCACACATCATTCCAAGACTGTCGATCAATTTGTTGCACATGCCTGGATTCCGATCATACTCTAGTTCGCATAGACTTGGTGCTCACTATCCCCACTTTAAAGAAGCGCCTATCTTCTATTCTACTTATCTGTAACTTGAACTCTCATTCTGCATTTCAACCATATCTTAACGAACTGACCCGCTAATTGTCGGTGATGAATGAGATTGGTGAGCCGAATGCTAACTGGGATCATCTCAAGCGTGCCATGAAGATTGCTTTTATCGCTGACGTGCACCCGACTTGAGACATCGTAACTAAATGGATCTCTGGAGCATCGACCAGTTTGATTACAGCACGTAAACCGGTTCCGATGGGCACTGACTTTCAGTGTGTCCGTAACTCCTGAAACGAAGTCTGACAAGGTGTCTTCGAATTGACCAGGAACGTTGGTGGATGACAAGCGCCCATGAGATGTAGAAACAGCTGAACAGCTGAATGCTATTCCAGCTCATCCGGAACATAGGTCCGAGAAAAACACCAGTTAGCGAGACAATAGCTGAGAAAGATGGACAGTCGATCCATACTCAGCTTTGTCGACTAGTCCGTTGGGTGGAACGTTTTGAGGAGCAATTCAGCAGACCTAATGCGACACAGTCGCTTGACGAATCAACTGAGCTGAGGTGGGATGTAGATGTCACAACTCTCACCTTGGACGAGATTCGACATAAACTTCCCGTGTGGAAACGAAACAAGGCCCCTGGACCCGACGACTTTCCTCCGTCACTGTAGAAAGAGGCCAGTGACTCTTTGTTGACTGGACTTGGCTCTTTATTTAACATGGACACTGGAGAAGTGCCTTCAGACTGGCAACTGTAGTGCTCATCTTCAGGAGGGGTCAGCTGAATTTATACGAAAATTACCGATGCATTTCCATTGCCTCCAAACTTCTCACGAGTATCATTCTTCGACGATTTACTGGTTCCCGTGAGGACCGAATCATTTAAATCCCGGCTGGCTGTGGCTACATCGCCCACATCGCCTAGACACGCATGCAGATGACCGCCTATGGTGATTTTCCTTGACTTGAAAGCCGCCTTTTACTCTGTTGACCGCGCCAGCTGGTGGCATTGCCTATCCATTAATAGCGTGGCAGCCAAACTCCTTTCCATTCTGAAGCCTGTCTACCGCGATTCCCGATGTCATGTGAGGATCTACGGGAATCTGTCTCCTGAGTTCCCCACGACAAGCGGGGTTCGTCTGTGATCTCACATATTTCCTTTCCTCTGTAACTTTGTTATTGAAATGATCATGTATGGTTCGGTTCTTTCCGACTCTACTTTAATGGAAGTTCTGCTAAGCGACCGATTGACAATCCCGGACTATGCGGTTGACATAGCTTTCCTTGTGTCTGTTTCACTGTCTATGCAAACATTACTGGATAGGCTGACGCGTAACGCTGCATGGTTCACACTTTGCACCTTCAAAGTGCAAAGTACTGTTGCAGCACTGGATCGATCCACCTCCTGTTTTACCTATTTCCGAACAAGCACTGAAACTTGTGGATTGGTTCACTCACCTTGGTATCTTTGTCACTACTGGTGGTCACATCACTGAGGAAATTACTGTGCATATAAGCAAGCCGCTTGTGGCATTCCAGAGGCTTGACCGTCCATTTAGATGGCGGGAAATCAGCTTGTCAGTGAAAGATAGGGCGTCTAAGCCTGCGATAAGGCCGATTTTACTGTATGGATCAGAGACCTGACCAGTAAAGACATTAAATGGTTTGACTTGTTTGACTACCGGTGCTTGTAATCATCATCATCAACAGCAGTACGTTAGCCATTTGAACTGATGCTTCGCTGCCATACAACCATGAGGACCTATGAAATAAAAAATAAGAGGAGGGAGATAAGAGTGACTTACCTGAAAACCTTAATGCCCTAAGCAAACATTCAGGGTCAAGCCGCCTACATCTTGTATATACAACATACCGTCACAAACAGATGGCTATCGTGCGAAGATAAGCTGAAGTATTCTTCGTCTGGCGGTAATACCATGTGAGCATTTCTAAGGTGAGACAGTTGGTTTGTGGTAAGAAGTCTTCTGGTGCTCTTTTGAGTGTTTGATAGATCTTGGTCGCTTGCTTGGGCTAGGCCATGTCCTCAGCGTGCATCATACGCCGTGTCTGCACCTATCTGGGCGAAACCGCGATTTAACCAGTCCATGACTTGTCATAGAAGCTTGAAGAAATTGACTGAGACTTGGTCAGGCTGGTGCGTGCCGTTATCTTGGATACGGGCCTCGGAACCGTGAACACCAATGTTTGCAGACTGTGTTGGATTTGACGCAGCCACGAAGTCAGTGGCGTTCCTGCATTCGGTTTCTTTCATCTGGCTGTTAGTCTTCGTTCCATTCTGACTTAGCTAGCGCGTTTCCTTCTTGCTTTCATTTTCTCTACCTTCTATTTTCACCCAGTCCAACTATCATGCCGTTATTATTTACTGTTATTCTTGCGATGTGAGTGGTGACAACTGGATCCACCGCACTTCGGTGCTCGGATCATAGTTGATCAACTGAATTGAACTGCACTTTTGTAAGTAGTAGGGGGATTTATTAGGTTTTTGTGTAGGTTCATCGCAGTTAGACACAGGCAGACAGCCATCACACATCCAGGAAAGCGCTAGACGGCCGTTTCGTCCTATTTGGACTCGTCAATAGCAAACACCCGCCGAATCCTGCCGGATTCGAACCCACGACCTAACTCTTGCGAGTCAGCGACTTATGTCACTGAACCATGTGCGACGGCAGCGGGCAGCCATGACTGGCATGTAGCTGCGGTCCGCTGCCGTCGCACATGGCTCAGTGACATGAGTCGCTGACTCGCAAGAGTAAGGTCGTAGATTCGAATCCGGCAGGATTCGGTGGGTGCGCGCTACTGACGAGTCCAAATAGGACGAAACGGCCGTCTATCGCTTTCCTGGATGTGTGGTAGCTGTCTGCCTGTGTCTAAGTGCGACGAACCTGAGCTGAACTTTTCTGCTCCCACAGCTTTGCTAGCAAGTTGTGTCTCTCATCCACAAAGCTTGTCCTCCAGATTTGTAGAAGGCTACAAGAAGTCTGTCTGCTTTCGCGGCCTTATTCAACTTCAACAGTCTGGTCTCATGTTCGACTTCGCGTGAGTGCGGATCCAAGGCGATGGCGTAGGGAGCAGGGCTGTCACAATGGATAACGAGTCCAACCGATTGAATAGCCTCTCAACATGCTCATCGCTGTAGTCCAAGCGTTTTGACAGGCTATGAATAGGTTGTCTAATCTCGCCGCGTATGGTTTCACCAACACCAGGTTTTCTACTGCCCGTTTTCCTTGCCAGACTGAATAACTTACAATAATCATTAAGAACAGCATTCATTTCTATCTACGGTGCAGTTGAAGCAACCAGATTTCGCGGTCTTTCTTCAGGCTAGCACGTAGTTTCGCCCTGAGATCTTCACGATTCCCGTTGTGTTCGCTTCTATTCTGAATCTTTCGACGAGCATCCAGTTCTAGAAACTGCGTAGAGGTTTACTGTCCATCTTAGAAATATATTTGCAGCATGAACATATTCCTGCTGCTAATTACGTCTATTTGCCACCAGTGGTCCTCAACTGTGTTCGATGTGCACTTACTCAACCTACATGCCAGCGCGGTTTGGTATAGATTCAGAACATGGTTTCGCCAGTTTTTGGATGTCTATGCGCTCACAGTGTTGTCGCAGTCATCTGCTGAAGTGAACTCGAAGATCGGCACATATGAGTACATGATCAGAGTCCACGCCTGTGCTTTAAATTGAGTGGCAGTTTTGAGCACACACGCACACGAATATACACGTTAGCTAGAGGTGGAAAACACCTACTGTGCCGCAATACATAAAAAAGGGTAATGCAACAGGTACAAGCCGCCTGAGCTACCTGTAACGGATGGGTATCGTTTCGGTAAGCTACCAGCCGGCTACCATGTAACAAAAAATTACTATGCAAAATTATATAAGGCTATATAGTGAGATCGTGCTTGGAGAGGATGGCTAAGAGAGATGGGGTGTGACAAAGAAACTCATTGCACGAACACCCCTTAGGTCGGTTCCTAGCCATATCAATAAATGTATCCAGCCGAACTTGTTCATCGTCTTTCGGACTCCAACCAGGGAGCCGAGACGCTCCAACTGAGGCCAGCTTCGACGTGAGGGCCTTCATTCCTCTCGACCAAGTCATCGCTTAGTCACATCTCTTCTTCCATCTACACCCCGGCGCGCAAACAACGCACGTCGCGGGAGTCGGGGGGCTGACATGCGTAACACAGCCGAGTCATCATAGGTTTGTGCGTGAAATAACGGCGCTGTGCGGTTCAGTTCCTTTTCCTGTGCCGTAAACAAGGCGTCGAACACGCTCGTTGCTCATGCGGTGTTCCCACCAGATGTGAGCTAAATTGCGAAGGCACCGATGGTCGAACGTAACTAGTTTTGAGCACACCTCCAACCATAACTGATTGCGATGTGATCGATTTGTTTCCCATGGTTGCTCCGAAGCTGGTGGACGTAATATCACCCTTTTATGGGCCCTAGGTCGGAAGTGAGTGCTCGCGATAAAGTGACGAGCGTCCTCACATAAGTGCAACGACCGCTCACTGTTATCATTATGGTAGTCTCCACCGTATTGGCTGCTCAGATGCAGCTCATCAGGGACAGTTTTCCAAATGGGGCGTTCAGATCGCCATTTAGTACCACAGTATCCGTACTTTTTCCGTAACTGAGATCGTTTATTTAGTGATATACTTCATCTTTCACCCAATAAGCGCTACCATTTGTGGACGCGTAGTCGTATTGACGAACAGACACCATTTCTCTACGCGCTACTTCAAATGTATGAGCGAGGCAACAAATCTGGGCGCATATACGGTTGTTCCATTAGAATCCAGTCAACCAGGATAGCTTCAACCCGGGGACTCAAAGCAATGCGCACGCCGGCTTGACCAGTTTTTGAAACTGCGTTATCTCCAGACAAACACAATGAGAACGTGCCGCCAGTGTCGCTTGTGGAGGATCGCAGGGTAAGCACGGCTTGGGTCTTGCAAACAGGTTTTCGGTAACTAACACATATCGATCGAGAGGGTCTGCAGTGTTCTGACAGGTGCTGCCTGTTGGCCAAACAGCAAGAAACGGCGCGCGTTGAGGCATGCCAGTTTTAGGGAGGAATGACGGCTCCAAATAAGAACGGGTGGGCTGATGTTATCCACTGGGTTGAACATGGATTTGTCGACTGACCAGGATGACGCACTGTTGTTGCGTGTGAGTCCAAACTAGAAGACAATCGACTATCGGGGCAAGATGGGAGTGGGCCACAAATTGGAGGGTTGAAAACAGATAAAAGTGAAGGTGGAGCGGGACGATAAGGATGAAAAGGTCCAAGAGGGAAGGCTTGAACGGTAGCATCCTCGCTTCTACTCACGTTGCTCGACGCGGCAGATATGACGCCGTTGATTATCCTCTACGACGACCAGAGCATAAAGAAACACAACGAATTTCTTTTCGAATAGCTTCGCCGGATGCTTGCTCTTAACAAGATGTGGACAGCGGCGTGCCTTCCTCATTGCAATAGAATTGTCAATTGAACGCAACTACCGCTCAAGTCTCTTCTTAAATCATTTTTGAAACAAAATGCTAGCCGATGGATTTCCATGATGTCTGCTTGCTCATCGCAATACGGTTTAATCGTCGACTGGCCACAGTCCTTCACGCGAACTAAAAGTGGTCTGCTTACCTTCAGATGTTCAGCTACCACATCTGCTGCAATCTTCCGGGGTACTTTACATTGGACGGTTGCCCAACCTACTTCTACACTCAGTTTGCATGCGTTCATTTGGTGAACGCATGGTTTTTCTTTCGGTATCTCTTTGAATGCTATTGTGCTGGTCTAATTTCATCAGATGCCAACTGCGCGAGTACCAAGCTAAATCATTAGTAGGCATGACTGCTTGTACGATGGGTGCTATTAGATATCTGTAGTTAGAGAAGTCAAAAATTTAGATGCCATTTCGTGACGCGGCACCTTAGTACCTAGCCATTTAAGCAGGATACTGACCGTGTAAAAGGGGATCAAACCGAACCACTAGTGAGAACGGGGCTAGATCTACTGTCCCGAGATCTTACTGCCTGGTACCGGGGACATCTGGATAGAAGTGCTGCGTAAGGAAGGATGGAAAGTGATTTGGCTTGTGGATAGGCTATTATTCATCTCGCTTTAGGAAGAACAAGAACATGATAAAGCTGGTTACTTTGGCCTGGTTTTGCGTGACATACGATCCTTTTTACAAAGTTTCCTAATTTTTTTAATTTTAATGTTTGCTTACCAAGCGTAATATAATTGTACATAATCGTTTTTCTTTTTTCCTAGTAGCTGGCTGGTAGCCTACCGGAACGATGCCTATCCGTTGCTGGTAGCTCAGCTGGCATGCAACTGTTGTATTTATTTTCCTTTTCCTTTATGTATTGCCGCACAGTAGCTGAGGTGTTTCCCACCTCTAGCAGACGTGTATAATGATGTATGATGATGATGACCAAGCAACGTTGCGGGCATCTTCTAACTTCATCTGCTCATTAGGTGGTTGTGATATCGACATCCGATTCTTACTGAGATATTTGTTTTACCTTCCAGCCATACAGATCTATTACGGCCTCATTTCCGTACCTAAACGATTGGAGTAAGAAGAATCCTGAATCCTGAACTGAACGTACTGCATTGCACTCCCGCTGTAGGAGACCGGTGGTTATTCTATCATTATGTCCAAAAACACAATGAATGTCGACATATTAAAAAGTTTCATCAAGAGGACAGAGGAGGTAAATCTACACCGATCTGGCATTAAGCGTTCGAGCAACCGGAGGGTTTATTTGATCGCGACTGTCGCGACTTCTTTCGTACTCGGTACATGTATCCTTTTGATATCGTACGTTTTTTGTTACTCCGCTGGTCCCCATTTCAAATGGCATTTATCTCACACCTCTCAACTTTCTTTGTTATTGTTCTTCCTTGTTTTAAAATAGGCTAGGTCCCGATACGACTGCATTGTTTCCACTTTAACTCAGGTTCCGGGGGGACTTTAATTATGGACAGATACGGTAAGTGTTCCTTCCAACGTTTGTCATTGAACTTGGAGTTCACAAGGTGCACAGAACTGTTGATGAATTTAGAGCGAGATAATTGACCTGCAGCTTGACGAAACCGGGTCTTAACATGGTACGACGATTTGCGTACATCTCGAGTCCAGTAAGCTACACTGGGCAGTATCGTCGGCCGCTTTGAAAGCTACTCCTATTACATTGACTAGTTGTTAAAAATCAGACAAGTGTAACCTTCTGGTCCTCAGGTTCGAGTCGAAACTAGAATGGTTTCTATCTGTCTGAGGATTACCCTTTCCATGGACTGTCGCCCCTCATCCTCGCAACCTTGGACATTTGATTTAAAAGCTCTAGACTATACCCATATTCTCTCTTACCTAGGTTTAGGAGCCCTGTCTGTATCCAATCCATTCCGCAACCATGATCCCTCAGTCTTTAATCACATTGCCTCATACAGTTTCAGACAAGTCATGTCTACTACATGCGTCAGATCGTGCCAGCGGAACAGGCTACTACCAACTCTATCCTTTTTTGTTCATCGAATTCTTCTTACCTATGTCCCGCTCCACATTGCTAACCTTACTTCCTAACCCTGGCGTAACTCTGCGTTTCTACCGAAGTTCTGCGACGCGCTTTTGTTACCACAGCACCCATTAGCCTCCCGCCATCCTAAGCTCCTTACCGAACGAAGTTACCTGTTTTTTGGCTGCGTTCAGCGCTCGTACTTTCCTTTGTATATAGTCAACACTGGACCAATAAAATCAGTTGGCAAATCGTCACAACATGTGGATAAAACGATAAACGGAGATGAAGTAGTCAGGAGAAGAGTCTCGCAACATTTCCGTCATTTGGTACGATTCTGGTCCACCTTCGATAGTGTTTCCGGCCAGGTTTGCTCATGTTCCTTGGATCTCCACTCAGGGAGTCAGGAACGCCTTATTACAGCCAGCTATGATTCCAGCGCTTTGACACATTGAGTTCAGATTATTCCTTAGCAATCTTTCCTTCGCTTCCAATCAACCCCCACTCGCTCAAAAATGATGCAGAGAAGCGACTATTGGGTAGGCATATGAAGCATGTACCCGAGTGACTAACGCATGTGCATAGAGATTATGCAGCTCAGCGGTCAATAGTATCTGTCTGACTGGAAGATCAGACGGCGAACGTCGTTGCTAATGCGATGTTATCATCGTTCATCGACAATACTCCGAGAGCACTAGCGGTAAAAACACAGGCAGTCTTTGAACATCGCAAAGACTGGCGAGGCCTATCGATCATGCTGGCGTCATTGCTGACCCGTGACTGAAAGGTTAAGACGTCTGTCTTGCAGCCATACGGTCGCACGTTCGAACCTGCGTAGGGGACCGGGCGACCCTCGCAGTATCTTTAGATCACGCGCAACTGGTGGTGGTTGCGTGGCAGCGAAGCGTCGGTACGGCCTACCACTGCTATCTTATTGTCTTTCCTTGCATTCTGCTTCTGCCGTAACGCTTCAAACACGACATTTTAGAATGGGTCAAAGGCATGATGTCAAAGGTTAGTAGATGATACCCTAACTTTGGAGATGTACACATTGACCCACGCTAATAAAACTCTAACAAAGTGAGTTTGTCGATCACTTCCAAAGATGAGCTGGAGAGGGTGAGAGTAATAGCAGTATCGAAGTAGACCTGCAGTAAACACTCGCACTTCGAAGGGGTGAACGTCGTTCCACATTGTAAGGAAACCACCAATATACAGCTCGCGGGGACCCGCTGATTACGGCGATATTATCAACACACTCTGAGCCACAAACTCGACCACTCGAAGGCAGTTCGACACCATTAGACCCAACTTTTCCATGTCATTTCCAAGAGATCGTATCGAACTTGTATAAGTAGAAGGATGCGTCTTGACCCCGTCACACCCCACTAATGATCCCTATATACTCGCACACGGCTCGACGTTAAATAATAGATGTGTTTACAAACTTATCAGACACTTTACGTCTCAATAAGCAACTCCGAAGAGCAACTCGCTGACGCATTCCGGCCGAGTGTGCGCACAACGAGACTCACAAATACCTTAGAGCAAAATGGCATGCTAGTCTGGAAAGAGACCGTGAAATCTGGTGGTCTCATCGTGCATCGGAAATGGAAACAGCCGTTGCTCTTGATAACCACCGTAAGTTATTCTATCCGCTACAGGACCTGAGCAGCAGGAAATCTTATTTCAGCAACACTATATGTGACAAGAACGGACAGCTTATCCACAACATGCCCAAAGCCTATAGCGTTGGGATGATCATTTTGAGAAGCAATTTAATCTACAGGAACTACAAGTTACACTGCCTATCAGTGCTTGCCCGATTCCAATTGCTGTCAATTTAGATCTACCCTCTCTCACAGATACCGAAAGTGAGATCAGACTGTTGCAACTCTCTTCAAATTCAGGAGACCAACTTGTGGACGTTTTGCAGTTTCTTAATAAAACTTTGATGGCAGGAATCGTCCCAACCGCTGTACTCCCTATTTTTAAGGGATGTTCACGTTCGGAGTGCGGTAGCCATAGGGTGGCTTGCCCCTCGTTCTTCATAGGCTAGCCGGTACTCGTGGAAGTCCGGTTTCTGGAAAACAAACTAGGTTACTTCGAAGTCCAGGCTGTCTTGTTCACGTCTTCACTTTACGCCGGTTATGGAACACTGTAACTTCTAGTAGCTACCAACCACAGTCGTGTTCCGCAATCTCAGAGATGCCTTCGATTCCGTGGACCCATATGCCCTTCGAAGGTAAACATCAGGGCGCTTTATGTGCATAGTTCGAGCGGAGTGATGGCTTTCGGCAGACTGTCGCCGCCCTTCAATATATCCAGTGGTGTAAGACAGAAATCCGACTGTCATCTTTCTTCTTTAACTTCACCACCAATGAACCTATGGAAACTATGTTCACTAGACACTACTTGGAAGATATAGAGCTGCTCTCAGGTGTGCGACTTTTCCATTTGAAGTGAGTGGACGATATTGCGCTAATCTGTGGCAACCCCCAAACGTGCAGAGTAACACTAGACAAATTAGTTCTGGCTGTTAGTCGCTGCTGTCTGCGCTTTGTGCCCTCCAAATGCAACGATTTTTAAGGTTGGCAGAACTACTTCTTGCGCTAGCTCTTGGGGAGGCTCAGCTAGAAGTTGTCCAGAACTCCAGCTTCATGGCTATCTGTATCAGCTCTTGTAAGTTTGAAGACAAGCTAACGAAATAAATATCACATGCTCGAATTGTTCATGCCAGTGTTCGCCACTTCTGGCCATGGTGTAACATTGTTCTGGCCATGAGGTCTAGCGTCTGCAAAACAGTCGTCCACTCAACCCTACTCTCTACGGTTGTGAAACCTAGCTTATCAGAGTGTTATAACTTGGCTCTTGGTCACAACATGTCTATTACGGATTGTTACAACTCTTAGTGGGATGACCGAACTTGAGGCTGTATGGTATCCCGCACGGAAATTAGTTGGCATAATTCGATCTCATACAACCCGGGAGACTTAGGAGCAACACGGTTCTATGCTCACCGTTGAATCCTTCTCCTAGACAGAGTACACGCTTCACACGCGACTCCGACCCAATGATATAAGAACAAAAAACAGACCCTTTGCCCCCAGCCACTTTGCTTGCCAGACCAAGTAATCACAGCGTAATCCAACCTTGCTTTTATACAACGATTAGTGAAATGAGATTTTTATGTAGAATGGTAGGCAAGACGTAATTTGGCATATTGGCCCTTGGGCCATTAACGAAAAATGAATGTCGATAATTGAAAGCGAGCGAACTGGCAATATGGGAAGAGATCAAGGGTCAATAACGGAACATTATCTGCTTGAATGTCAGTAATTGATGTGGTTTGGCCGGAAATATTTTTTTTCTGTCTGGGGCTGACTGAAACGTGCATTGGCCTTGCTTGGTTCCGCCTGAGGTTTTGTGGGGTCGTTCGGTCCCCATAACACAATGACAAACATAAAATGGCGACTTGAACTCGACCACCGGTGCCTTCGCAATATAGTTCATGTCTGGTAGGGAACACCGCATGAGCAATGAGCATGCTCGGCGTCTTATGTTCATGGTACAAGTAAAACAAGTGATTTGCTCGGCTCCGTAGGCATAGTCATGTATTACGCTTACCAGAGGAGGATTAACGGCTAAGTGATGACTTAGCCAAGAGTTTGGCCTCGGTTAAAGCCTCTACACTCCCGGGTTGGGGTCTGAAGGACGATGCGCATGTGTGGTCGAATACGCTTGTCGTTATGACGAAGAACCGACCACACTGGCGTGTTTTGAGTTTCTTTGTTCCTCCCCATTCCGCTTAGCCTCCTCTTCCAACCACAATCTTGTTGCAAATGCGTAATATGGAACAACACAATGATATTTGCTTCGATCTTTCCTCTTGTACTGTTTGTTGTTTTCCTTTTAGAACACCTTACTGCGTGCTATTGCGGTACAGTAGCCTGGGGTGTTTCTCACCTTTAACCAATTTGTAGAATAAACAGTGTAGACCGTTTTTTGGTAGACAACAATATTTGACCCACCTTATGCTTGACGTTGCTCGAATATTTATCGGATTGTAGACTTATGGCCAATACGGCTACGATGTGGGTGAAGCTCAGCTTGCTCTTCATGTATACGTCCTTTTAGTCGACTGAGCTTTTGTACGAACAAGGTAGCGAATGCCTTAGACGCAACGTATTGGCGATTGATCCATTGGTACTTGAAACAATTTTTGGTTGGCTTTTCTGAACCACGAACTTCGATAAGCTCGAGTCAGATGGGATGACTTCTTTGTTCCAA